AAAAGTAATTCAAATTCTAACAGAATGCTTACCGAATATAATTCCTTTTATTAGTAGTCATTTTAAATAAAACAAATGTGAAGATAACAGAGTAATAGGAAACTATGTTTAAAACTTAATAGTGAAGCAAAAACGTCTTAAGAGTTTCATTATTCCAAATGAATAATTATTGATATCTGTAAAAACTATAATGAAAATAAATATCATGTGATATATACACAAATAAAGGCCCATCGATTTGCTCGAGCAGGCCCAGTAACGTCTCCATTGGAGATTTTGTTGTTACTGTGTTTGGCATATGGAATATGTCACAGGGAGCTTGCCAGGCTCTGCCTTGCGGGCAAGACACTCTCGGTAGCTTGCCAGGCTCTCCGAGAGGGGTGGAGGAATCGAACTCGGGTCGGCCATGTTGGCTGCGCGCAAGGCAAATGCCCTACCGCTGCGCTATCGCTCCAGCCCTCATCTGGTAGAGCGGAGGACTATAGTTGTAGTGATATATACACAAATATTAAAAATAAATTTAAAAAATTATGAAACAACATTTGAACTGCCTTTCATGTTCTAACACACTAATATTCAAGTTTCAATGGAATATGTAATCTGTCACTGTCACTGCCCTCCCATTGTTCATCGATTTTCTCGAGCAGGCCCAGTAATGTCTCTATTGTGGGACTTTGTTGTTAGTGTGTTTTGCATATTGAATACATCACGGGGAACTAGCCAGGCTTTGCTGTGTGGGCAAGATACTCTCTGTAGCTTGCCGGGCTATATTTTACCTTTTATTATAATGTAACAGATAGTAAAAAAATATACATAAATGTACTAAATAAAAAATGCTTACAAGGAAAACCTATCTAAAAATAATTTAAGTCATAACATACTAAAGTATATGCAACTCTTCCTATGTATTGAATCACATCCCTTTCTTCTCTCCACAAATCAATAATATTCTTTTGTGTTTATGGTAATAATTTTCTTGGATTACATTATAAATTTTGTGTTAAAATACATTTCCATAGAATAATTTTGTCTATGACTAAATTTGTGTTTGAACTCTTCAAAAAATTATATTATGAAATATGCCCATATCTTTCGATCCCAATTAATTAAACATCACTATTCATTCATACATGTTAACATTAATGGAAATTTGGTTTGTCTCTTTTTGTAACAATTAGAAAAATGGTGCAATTTAATTTGCTTGCATCAAATGCTAGATCAGAGAATGTAATAGTTAAATACACCTAGTACTGCTGGGGGAGAGGGTAGCAGGGTATGTGGTACTGGAACATAAAACAGGCAAGTAATGTATACTTAAACCATTTCACCACAACGACATTTTTCCTCTTTTCCTAAATATCACCTTCATGTATATTACAGACATAAACACATAAAGGAAACTAAGTATTATAGAACATAATGGAAAACACCGTCTTCATTTTCACGAAAAATTTCCTCCAAAATACACAAAATCACAAACACAATTAAAACTTTTTTTCTACATAAAAGAACTTCAAGGGCGGAAGAGATAGTAGAGAAGTTAAGGTACTTTCTCCGCACATGTCTTTGATTTCTTTGCACTTGGTCCCCTAAGAATTGCCAAAGTGATACCAAGGCACATTCAGGAATAAGCCCTGAGTCTCACTGGGTAAGTAAATCATCAAAAGACACTGCAAAGAGTGAAAATTTAATATATACAGAAAATAAATGTAAATATATATTACTAATATGTGCATAAGCATCAAAATATTTATATCCATAATGTAAATAACTTTCACAAAATATTTTTAAAAGACAGAGTAACTTAAAATGGGAAAACATTCTGAAAACTACAGCACTAAGTAAAAGTCCAAATGGTTAATGAATCTATGAAATTATGATATCTAGTCACATCAGAGAAATGTACATTGAACACAATATAGTATTTAGATTCACAAAAAGTAATCAGTTAGATTCACTATTAGAAACTAACTAACAGTTAGAAACTGTTAGATTCACAAAAAGTAATCAGTATTATGATATAGCAGTTGTTCAAACAATTTGTCATGTCAGGAGATTAGTGAATTTACAGAACAGTTTGGCATGATGGTGAATATTAACTATGTACATACTCTGATCTAGCTTTTGCTTCAAGAAAATTAAATTCTAACAATTTTCTAATGGTTCCAACCCAGCACCCCATTCCAAAAAAATTTATACTAAATGTAGTTAATAAATGTTTTACCATATTTCATTAGGATATTACATATATCTAAACAAATAGTTACATATATTTAAAGTAAATAAACAATATCTAAACAAATTTGAGATGAGAAAAATAATATGTGTATATATGATAATTTTCCACTATTTTAAAATGAAATAGTATTTCACTGGTCATTAGAAGTACAGAATGATATTCACAGAAGAAAACATCACTATTTATTCTATTGCTAATAAAGTAAATAAGCCTCACAAATACTATTAACATGTAATTTGATTCTTCATAATTTGGCATAACCTTTACATGGCTCTTTTCAATATAAATTATTTTACAAAAGTTGGCATAAATGTGGTTCCATGCATTTCATTTTGCACATATGAATCAATATTATATATCTGTCATATAACTAATGTATACAGTCTTCTAATTCAGCAATTATCTACCTTCTAATGTACCACATGTTATTTTGAAATCGTAGAGTGGCAGATTTGTGTAATAATTGTAATAATGCCATAAATTATTGCATGCAGTGGGGCCCAAAACGCCAAATTATATATAATGACATCTACTCAATAAAGGATATGTCTTGATAAATTTGTCTACCAACTATAATAATTACTATGTTTATATGGTGGTAATTGCTCGAGCGGGCCCAGTAACGTCTCCATTGGAGACTTTGTTGTTACTGTGTCTGGCATATCGAATACTCTCGGTAGCTTGCCGGGCTCTCCGAGAGGGGTGGAGGAATCGAACTCAGGTCGGCCATGTTGGCCGCTTGTAAGGCGAACGCCCTACCCGCTGTGCTATCGCTAATTAAATGTTAATATTAAATGTTTAATTCAATAATAATAATATTACTAAAAATAAATATTACACAAATACTAGTTTACGTTACTGAGCAATAACAATTTACTTTATAAAATTCAAAAAATAAATTTTACTCGAGTCTAGTAAAATTATATAAAATAATGAAAATATAGAAAAATAAATTTTATTCTAAACTAGAATAAAATTATATAAAAACATAATACCTATGAACATGTTAAATTTTAACTCTTCTGATTTTGCTTTCAAAGTTCTTGTGATACTAATCCTCTAGTCCTGCCAAACAAAATAATTCTGGAAATTAGTTGCTTGCTAATGTTCTTCCTAATTTAAAGTGTCCTTGAACCTTGTATCACCGCTACACCTTTAAATCTCAAATAAACCAGAAAGTCTAGTCATTTTGTAAGTCCAATGTGTAAGTAAATCATCCAATGTGTAAGTAAATAAGTATTTTATTTCAGAGCTCAGTTCAACTTAATCTTTTCATTTTCTGTACATACTTAAAAAGTATATAATTATATACTTATAAAGTCTATATAACTACTTATAGAGTTTCATTGTTTCATTAATGATCTCCTACATCTCTAAACTCAATGGGGCAAAGAGTCGGGATTTGGGAGAACAAAAATTACTTTGTGACTTATAGTTAAGATTTTCTCCATAGTTCACATGGAGTCTATTACCAAAAATTTAAAAATTGTTTAACAAACTTACTAAACAATAAAAATAGAATAACGTAAATAATTACAAAAGTCACAAAATTAGCTTTGTAAGTGTTTTTGGTAAAATTTATATTGGATTTCTTGTTTGCTTTCAAGTATATCTTACCAAATTTCATATTCTTAAATAACATCAGAAAAGACTAAAGCAAAGTGTAAACAAAGTAAATGAAGAAAAGTAAAAAGATACTATTATACTAAAAGAAGCTTTGATTTTTGACCTGGGCTGGCGCGATAGCACGGTGGGCAGGGTGTCTGCCTTGCATGCCGCCAACATGGCCGACCCGAGTTCTATTCCTCCACCCCTCTCAGAGAGCCCGGCAAGCTAACGGAGAGTATCTTGCCCACACGGCAAAGCCTGGCAAGCTACCCGTAACGTATTCGATATGCCAAACACAGTGACAACAAAGTCTCACAATGGGGATGTAACTGGGCCTGCTCGAGAAAATTGATGAACAATGGGAGGACTGTGACAGTGATTTTGACCTTAATATGAATTAATATGAAAAGAGAAGAGCAGTCTGAATCGAACAGGATTATTTTAGTATTGTTTATATTGGAAACTCTTTTAAGATGTAAAATGAATTGAATTGAATGACCTAGTTTTTAAAGGTAAGGTAAAGGTAAAGGCCCTCCCGTTGATCATCGATTTGCTCGAGTGGGCCCAGTAACGTCTCCATTGGAGACTTTGTTGTTACTGTGTTTGGCATATCGAATACGTCACGGGCAGCTTGCCAAGACCTAGTTTTTAAAACAGAAATTGTTTGAAAACAGACTCAGCTTATCCTAAAAGCCTTTACATAACTGATGATGAGTGAAAAAGACACACAGCTACTCGGATTCTTCATTATAGTCAAAAGTGATAAAAAAAAACTAGTAATAAAACACTGCATAGTTACTTTAAAAATAATTTTATAAAGACCTTTGATTTACAAAGTTCTTGAGTTTTAGACATAGAGTATTTCATCACTAATCCCACCAATTTCCCTCCACTAGTGTTCTCACACTCCATCTGTCCCTCCCATCCCACCCACACTGCCACCCTGACAGACTTTACAAGTGGTTGTAGCTTAGATCTCATGTTCTCAGTGTTTTGGGACTGGGTCTTCGGTTATACTGGTGATGTGGAAAGGGGGTACAGTTATTTTATAATATCTAATATGTAACAGTAAAAATAAGAGACTTTTACATAGGCATAATAAAACTAAAATTCTTATATGTAAAAATCAAGATAATAATAGTTCATTACATACCACAGCACTCAGGACATTTTGGATGTTTCATGATATTCATTCCATACCCTGGAAAACAGCGATTAATCCAAACCATTTGGAGAGTACCTTCAATATAGTATATTTCTGGCAATGGCTCTGCACGTCTGCCGAGAACTTCTACTTGTTGATTAAAAAACCTCTCTATGATTGTTTTAGCCTAAAACAGAAATACAAAAAAAAAATTATCACAAAAACGGAATTTTTGAACAAATAAGAATGTTTCAGATTTAGAAGTAGAGGAAACAAAATTTTCATTATTTCTTATATTGATGGAATTTTAAAAAAACCTTAAAACATTTTAAATACCAGTACATTAGACTGTGCCTGAAGTGATACTAGTAACTTGATGGCAAGTATATGTAAGAATATACATTCTGAAGAAGCATGGTTTGACCCTTAGAATATGTATTTATGTAACGGAATATTATCTCACCAAAAAAATTTTAAATGTCATTTTTAAAGCTTAAGTGTTTCTAAAAGTACTAGAAATTTAATTCAAAGAACCCATATGATCATGTAAGAAATTTTTGTTGCTTTTGGATTCTAGATAACATATGGACATCTGATAAAATCAAGACAAGTCTTTGAAATTAAATTTATTTTAAAACTATATTCAAATAAAATGTTCTTGGAAAAAATATAACTGAAAACACTAAAAAGCTAGATAAAAAGGTAGTACACTCTCTAATGTAATTTGACTAAATTTTTTTGTTTTTTGGGGGGCTACACCTGAGTGAACTCAGGGCTTACTCTGAACTCTGTGCTCAGGAATCACATCTGGTCATGCTGAGGGTATGCAGTTCTCTCAGCCCTACATTCTCTAATTTTAAATAACACTACAAAACTGAAGAAATTAAATATATTTTTTAAATTTCTATTTTTTTTAATTTATTTATTGAATTACCATGACAACAGTTACAAAGCTTTTGTGTTTGAGTCTTGGTCATACAATGATCAAATACCCATCCCTTCTCCAACACACATTTTCCAGCACCAAAATCCCCGGTATACCTCCCATCACAGCCCTACCCCTGCCTCTGTGACAGATAATTTCAACATTACTCTCTCTCTACTTTGATTATATTCAATATTTTGACACCAGTCCCACCATTATCATTTGGAATTTTCCCCCAACACTCAGACCTGCCGAAAAGGCAACATCAGACAATTTGCTCTCTGTTGCTGGTTATGAATAGCAGATGATGTCGCGTGGCTGGGAGAGCGGCCATATGATCTTGGAATTCTAAAATTTTAGTAATTAGATCTAGAGAGATTTCTGTCAAGAGCTGCTCGGTTCTGAGATTCATTTGTGTGTCTCTGGGATCATGATCATTACAGAGTTTAATAAGTAGCCAGGTTGGTTGTTTGTGGCAGCATCTAAGGATCCCATCAGGGTGGGGAAAGGAGAAGGACTGGTTCGTCCCCAATCCCGTGAGGCACAGAGTGTGTCATCACTGCTAGCCTGTACCAGGATTTTCCAATGAGTTCTGGAAGATGTCAGCCGCCAGGCTTCCCAAGGAATAATTGGAGGGATGACACCTTTTCACATCTGGGGTGGCCCAGCAAAGTGGCCTAATGCAAAGTCTGGAAGCATTTCTGCCAAGAGCTGCTCAGTTTCAAGATTCTTTTGTGTGTCTCTGGGATCATGACCATTATGGAGCTTAATTAGCAGCCAGGGAAGCAGTTCATGGGAGGCATCTCAGGGTCCCATTGGGGTCAGTGAGCAAGGAAATTAAATATCTGATCTTGACTAGAATACAGACTCTTAGAGAAATGAAATAGAACTGAGACCACACAAGTAAACTCTTAGAACAGTTATTTTTTGACAAAGGATCTAGGTGAACTGGAGTAAGACAGCCTCCTCAACAATAGCACTAGGAAAACTAGTTAGCTACGTGCAGGGAAAAATAATAAAGAAAAGAACATGAAGTGATGAAACTGGACTCTTCTCTCATACCACATAACTTTAAATGTTCAAAAGGTATAAAGAACTTCATGTTAGACCCAAATCCTAAAATCTATCAAGTCAAAAATAGAACTTTGCATGTTACTGACTTCTTAAATGTCTTCAACAACTAGATTTAGCTGTCAACTGAAACAAAAACAAATGAAACTACAGAAGTTTTTTAATTGAGAAAGGAATTATGGTTAAAATTAAAAGGACATTCTACTGAATGGGAGAACTTTTTTGCACACCACACATCTGGCAAAGGGTTAGTACAGTGGATAGAACATTTGTCTTGCACATTGCTGACCCAAATTTGATCACTGGTATCACATATGGTCCCCAAGCACTGTGAGGAGTAATTCCTGGGTACAATGTCAGGAGTAACCCCTATGCATCAACGGGTGTGGCCAAAAAACAAAAAAACAAAATCTATAACGAAACTCAGCAACAAACCACCCAATTAAAAATTGTAGAGAAAATTTGAACAGGTTACTCAAAGACATAGATGACCAACCGGCATTCTTTTAAAAAGTTTATCATTTCTGATTATAAGGAAGAGGCAAATCAAAATGACAAAGAACTATCACCTCACATAAGTAAGAATGTCCTATTCTCAAAGCACTGGATATAACCAGTATTGGCAGGGCTGCACTTAAAAAAGAGACGTTCATTCAGGGTTAGTGGGATTGCCCATTGGTTCCTACTCTATCAAAAACAGTATGGAGATCTCAAAATATTTTAAAAAGAGCATGACTTCAGCAATTTCACTTGATGATACTGATATCAAGAACACAAAGAAATTAATTTGAAAAAACATGCACACCTATATTTGTTACAGCTCTGCACTGTAACACTGTCCTCCTGTTGTTCATCAATTTTCTCGAGCAGGCCCAGTAACATCTCCATTTTGAGACTTGTTACTGTGTTTGGCATATTGAATACGTCACAGGTAGCTTTCCAGGCTTTGCCATGGGGGTGAGATACTCTCGGTAGCTTGCTGGGCTCTCTGAGAGGGGTGGAGGAACCAAGCTCGGCTCAGCCAGGCTGGCTGCTTGCAAGGCAAACGCCCTACAGCTGTGCTATCACTCCAGCCCGTTATGGGGTATTACTATTGGTAATAAAGTAATAAAGTAATACTAATAAAGTAATAAACTTTAATAGTAATAAAGTAATAAAGTAACTTTATTACTAACAATTTTATTAGTAAATAAATAAAGTATTAGTATAGTAATAAATAGTATTAGTAATTAGTAATTTATTAGTAATAAATAGTAATAAGTAATTAGTATTTAGTATTTATTAGTAATAAATAGTATAGTATTAGTAATAAATAGTATTAGTATAGTATAGGGCAAGGTCTGGAGCGATAGCACAGCGGTAGTGCATTTGCCTTGCATGCAGCCAACATGGCCGACCCGAGTTCGATTCCTCCGCCCCTCTCGGAGAGCCCGGCAAGCTACCGAGAGTATCTCGCCCGCACGGCAGAGCCTGGCAAGCTCCCCGTGACGTATTCGATATGCCAGACACAGTAACAACGAAGTCTCCAATGGAGACGTTACTGGGCGCGCTCGAGCAAATCGATGATCAACGGGAGGGCCTTTTTTTTATAGTAATAAAGTATTAATAAAGTTATTAGTAATAAATTAATAAAGTAATACCAATAAAGTATTATTTTATTAGATAACACTGATATAATGCTATTTTTGGATAAAATTAAAATGGTTGTGAGTTTGCTTTTAAAAATAATAGGGGCTGCAAAAGGAGAGAGAGAACAAAAGGGAATGCCCTGCCACAGAGGCAGGGTGGGATGGGGGGGGGTAGGGGTGGGAGGGATATTATCCATGGTGGTGGAAAGTGGGCACTGATGGAGGGATGGGTATTTGATCACTGTATAGTTGAAACCCAAGCACAAAAAATTGTAAATCTACAACTGTACTTCATGGTGTTTCACTAATAAAAAGAAAAAAAATGGAAAAAAAATAATAGGGGCTGGAGCAGCACAGTAGGTAGGGTCTTTGCTTTGCACGTGGCTGACCCGGGTTTGATTCCCAGCATCCCATATGGTCCCCGGAGCACCACCAGGAGTAATTCCTGAGTGCAGAACCAGGAATAACCCCTGTACATCACCTGGTATAACCCCCAAAGCAAAAATAAATAAATAAACTAGTAAGTTGATCATATCTTATAGGAAAATGTTCCAAAGTGAAAACTACATACAGTCAGACAATTATTTTAAATACATTCTGTCTCAGGGGGCTGAAGCAATATCACAGCAGGTATGGAATTTGCCTTGCACATGGCCAACTCAGATTTGATTCCCAGCATCCCGAACACCACCAGGAGGGATTTCCGAGTGCACAGCCAGGAGTAATCCCTGAGCATCGCCAGGTATGACCCAAAAAAGGAAAGAATAAATAAGTAAATAAATAAATAAAAAATAAAAACATTCTGTCTCATGTTAGAAATAGAATAAAAAGAATAATATACACTATTGTTAGCAAATGAGCAAAAAATTATGAAATAAAATGAAATTTAATTAAACAGAATTAGGGATCAGAGAGATAGTATAGAGATTTTCCTCGTATGTAGCTGGACCTTAGTTCTTTACTCAGTATTTCATATTGTCCCTGGAGAACCACTGGAGTGACTCCTGGAGAAGCCACTGAACACTTTTAGGTATGGCCTAACAATCTAAAACAACAACAACAACAAAACCACAATAACAACAATTAGAAGAAGTGGCCCAGATGGTGAAGACTGCCCATTATCTGCACCAGGTACAAAAATGATCAACCAACCAAGCACTGTGAGTGTTCCTAGAGAAAGTGTGCAGCAGTGATCAGCAAACATCTAGTGAAATTTTCATGGGAAGAACCTCCAAACAGGAGAGAAATCAGCAGCACAGCCCAACGCAGACTCAAGAACAATGCTTGTTCTGATATGTATGAAGGTTGTTTTGGTAAATTTGTATATCTTGTTCATTGATTTATCTTATTTTTGGATTCCTTAAATGTTTGAGTTTTATGCATATGAATCTATTATGCTTACTTACACACTGGCAATTTCTTATTCTTTTATCTAGTGTCACGTAACATACCTTAGTCAGTCTTTTGGTTGGTTCACAGTTATGGTCTTTACATGGCTTGGATCCTTTTGCATTTTCTAGAGATGAAACTGAGAAATTATATTATATTTTTTCATGGGTATAAAGCACTAAGTTATAATATTTAAATTTTCTTTTTAAATAGAAAACAAATTATTTAATATTTCTCTTCCATTAAGAAACTACACTACATAATCACTCTTATCAGCAAAAACCCCATTCTACAGATTTGTTTTATATGTTAGAAAAATCTTACTTTAGACTAACCTTAATAATTAATCAGTTATAGTGCTGGGATAATAGCTCAATGGAATGGAGGTTATGATTTACATGCAAGAGGCCTAAGTTCTAAGTCTGGTGACATATAGCTCCCTAAGTACTGAACCATATTCGTACCTGAGCTGGGTATGCATCCCCCAAACAAATAAACAAAAAATAGAGCTAGTCAATGTTCTTGATAGTCCTTGATTATTGATTTTATGTACTATTAACAAATCATTTGAACTTTTTGAAACAAATACATGCATATACAAGTATAAAGATCTCTAAGTCTACCCATAAAATTTATTGTGTATCAACTGACTAAATCTATTTATTCTCCACAAAATTATAAACCATGACAATATTAGAGAGGGCATAAGTACAGACTACTATAGTGACAGTACTAACTAAAACAATATTTCATGAAAGTAATTATCAGGAAATTACTATACTCCAGGAATTATTCCAGGATTTTTGGGTACGCAAAGTAATCATAATTTTTTAAATATCTACCATTTTGAAAATTACATCATGATTCAAGTAGAGATAGCAATAAACAAGCTATACATATCATGTCATGATAAGGTGGGAAGTATACTAGTTAAAAATTTGTAAGTCTACAACTGTACCTCATGGTGTTTCACTAATAAAAATTTTTTTTAAAAATTAATGGGGTTGAACTGATAGTACAGGGTAGAGTGCTTGCCTCCTAGTCAACCCATAAAATTGACTTACCAGGGTTCAATCCGTGGCACCTAAATAGGGACTGTAAACCCCACCAAGAGTGATCTCTGAGTGCAGAGCCAGGAGTAAGCTCTGAGTATTGCAGAGATGGCCCCCAAACAAAAAATAAAATAAAAAGACAAAAAGCAGGAGTAGGACACCTCCCTCTGGGTGCAAGTGCAAGTAAATAGGGAACTGGTGGTCAGCAACCACAGCTCCTTCAGTGTCCTGGTGTGTGGGTGTATCAAGCACCCTTTTCCTATACTCTTTTCACCAACTTGGACCACGGAGGTTTGCATGGGTGAGCTCCCAACTAAATAGCAGCAGCCCCAGCCCGCCATCAAGTCATGCTCCCCTAGGAGCTACAGGAGCAACTTCTGGGCATCACAGAAGCAGCACTCTCCTGCATCTATCACTCATGGCACATGCTGCTCTTGGGAAAGAACTCTAAGTCTCTGTAGAGGGTTTCACTACCACAAAGACAGACTCTTATTAGCATAACATTAACTCTAACCATATACCAGAAACATTCACAAAGGTAATAATAGTCATAAGAATTATTGAACACTATATTATGTCAAGAGGATAGAAAGGGCCAAGATCATTGAAAATATTTTCAGAATCAGCGAACCTCTGAGTCCTGGCATCCAATATGATACCCAACCACCAGAGGCCAGGAGTGATTTCTGAGTGCCTAGCCTAGATTAACCCCTGATCATAGTCACAGGAAGGAAGGAAGGGAGGAAGGAACAGAGGGAGAGAGGGAGGGAAGGATTCCTGGAATTTTCATATGGAACCCTAAGCAACTAGTTAGTAGTAACACAATTGGCTAGAACAGCTCTAGCTGGGAAGGAGATGAGGCAACACTTGTCTCATTTTCTCAGAAATCTTTCTGGTAGAAGGGCAAAGTAGAAAAACTCATGTCCAGACTTCAACAAAACCAAAGTGAAAACAGCACAGAACCTTAACAAGCTCACTGAACAAAGACAGTAGCAGGCTGGAAGACACTTGCAGTACTAATGTTAGAAACAAAGTATAGCCATTTTAGGCATGAACCAAAGAGCAGCCGTTTTAGTTATTAGTTGACATTTTAGCATTCTGTATGATTATGTAACTGACAGCTGAACTGGGCAGGATCCTGAGACCACATCTTGGGAAAAGGAACAGAACTAACAAAATTTACAATGCTCACAGCAGCCGTGTGTCAGCCAATCATTAAGAAGCAGGAATCTAGTGGTCAGCCAGGCATGGATAAAAATAGAACAAAGGGGCACCCACAGGTGTCACTAACCTATCAGCTTACAGATCAGTTAGGGAGAAAAAACAATTTGGTTTTAGGGTACTTAAACCCTTCCCTGCAGTTGGTGGGGGTCGTGCCCCAACCATTTCTCTATGGAGTGCAGCCCTGGCCGGGGTCAGTCCGTAACAACTTTCTCTCTTCTCTCCTTTCTCTCTCCTCTCTGTCTCTATCTCTGTCTCTCTCTCTCTCCTTTCTTCCTCTCTTTATCCCTCTCTCCCCTCCCTCTCTCTCCCCTTACCCCCCTCCTTCCCGCCTCTGTCTCTGTCTCTGTCTCTGTCTCTGTCTCTGTCTGTCTCTCTCTCTCTCTCTCTGTAACAACTCTCTTTAATAAAATCTCTGCAACTCCTTATGGGTGTCTTGTGTTCGAATTGTGGACCCTAATATTTGGGGGCTTTCCCAGGATTTGAATAATGGCCCATAAGTAGAAAGCCTCAATAGGTAAGTCTGTCTCAGACTGGTTGGGGCCCTGAAGGTCAGTCTAAAATTGCGAAAAATTGGATGCAGTATGGTTCATAGAGACCCGAACTCCAGGGGGAAGCCCCTATTGTTTGTTGTCTTCTCCAGGTAGGAGGGGAGTCAGGTTTCTGGGTTCTTCTTTTCTTTTGAACAGTCTTTAATTGTCCTTTGTAACCATTTTTCTCCCCAGCAGGGGATGTTTTGTGGAGCATAGTCTTCGATTTGTATTGCTGGTGTCTTGTATAAGTCTGTGTCCTTTTAAGTATGGGTCAGGAAAATTCAAAAGAGGCTCCCAAGCCCCAGGATTTTGTTCTAAAACTTTTCAAAGATTATCAGTGTAAGGTTTCAGAATCTAGTGATAAAGTCTATCCTGACAAACGTCTGACCACCTTAGGCCTACAACTTTGCCAGTATTGAGTTTGCAAGCTTTATATTAACTAAAGAGTTTTCTTGACACGTTTTAACAAACAGAAAACAGACTGGTCAGGTGGGGAAACAGGGGAGGAGGTTCCCAATTGACTGATAGGGCTAATTTTGCCCTGGGGACTGCTCATTCCTTTCTCAGTCCATCGGATTTCTCCCTGACATTCCTGAAAGGTTAGATTGATCAATCAATTGCACATGTGTGTACATATATGTAATGTATGTAGTCAGTGTGTCTGTCTGTGTGGAACACTTAAATGTGAGAGCCCAAAGAAGAAGAGAGATAAGAACTTTTGAGACAGCACACAGCTTTGCCTTGTAAGTCTCAGCTAATTTTAATGAGAAATTACGCTATTTAGTTTAATAACAGAGGTACAGAAACTGTCAAAATTAAATCAAAGAAAGTTTTCTCATGGTTTCATAAACACTGACACTACAAGTGTTTTAATATGCTAGTGTGTCAAAATGTACATAATTGTCTTGTTTCTGTATTGTATTATTAGAATATCTGACCAGAAAATCTAGTGAGTTGAAATAATTGTGGTACATAAAAATCAGGCTCAAAGAGTAATAGTTTAGTTCAAAATGAGAGACTCTAGAGTTATAAAATTGGTTGCAAAACTTTCCCCTACCAGTGTTTTACTTGATCTCTGAGGTTTTCGGTAACTTTCTCAAAGAAATCTGAATGGCATGAAGGCACATGAGAAAATGCTCTACATCACTAATCATCAAGGAGATGCAGATCAAAATAACAATGAGATATCATTTCATACCACAGAGATTGGCCCACATCAAAAGAACAAAAGAACCAGTATTGGCGTGGATGTGGCAAGAAGGGGACCCTCCTCTACTGCTGGTGGGAATGCCAACTGGTTCAGCCCTTTTGGAAAACAGTATGGACAATTCTTAAAAAATTAGAAATTGAGCTCCCATTTGACCCAGCAATACCACTCTTGGGAATATATCTCAGAGAGGCAAAAAAGTATAGTCGAAGTGACATCTGCATTTGTTTGTTCATTGCAGCACTCTTTACAATAGCCAGAATCTGTAAAAAACCTGAGTTCCCAAGAAAAGATAACTGGTTAAAGGAACTTTGGTACACCTACACAATGGAGTACTATGTAGCTCTTAGAAAAGATTAAGTCATGAAATTTACGTACAAGTGGTACTACATGGAAAGTATCATGCTAAGTGAAATGAATCAGAAAGAGAGGGACAGACATAGAAAGATTGCATTTATCTGGGGAACATATAGTAACAAAATAGGAGACTAACATCCAAGAATAGCCGAGATAAGTACCAGGAGGTTTACTCCATGGCTTGGAGGCCAGCCACACATGCTAGGGGAAAAGGCAGCTCAGATAGAGAAGGGAGCACCAAGTAAATGGTGTTGGGAGGATCCTCCCTGGATGGGAGAAGCATGTTGAAAGTAGACTATAGACCGAACATGATTTCCACTCAATGCCTCTTTTGCAAACCACAGCACCCAAAAGGAGAGAGAGAACAAAATGGAAAGACCTGCCACAGAGGCAGGATAGGATGAGGGGGGATGGGAGGTGGGAGGGATACTGGGATCAGTGGTGGTGGAAAATGGACACTGGTGGAGGGATGGGTACTCGAACACTGTATAATTAAAACCCAAGCACAAAAATTTGTAAGTCTACAACTGTACCTCATGGCGTTTCACTAATAAAAATTTTTTTAAAAATTCTAGAACTATTTATCAAAGAGTTAATAATGAGTTATAATGGGCTGGAGTGATAGCACAGCGGTAGGGCATTTGCCTTGCACACAGCCAACATGGCCGACCCGAGTTCGATTCCTTCGCCCCTCTCAGAGAGCCCGGCAAGCTACTGAGAGTATCTCGCCCGCACGGCAGAGCCTGGCAAGCTCCCTGTGACGTATTCG